CAGGCCTGTGATGCGATTTATCCTGCTTTTCAGACACGTCTACTTCGAGGTTAGGGTACACCCAAGCACAGCTGCAAACCCAGTGCCTTTTAGAATCCTGTACTGTTATTATCAGTAATAAGAGGGACAGTAGTGGTGGCATACTGTATGAAGGTCACTATGTAATCTGTTAGTTTCGGAGGTTCAGTAGGATTTACTGAATTGAAAACACAATATTAAGGTGTCTATACAATCTTTTTGAAGACAAACTTTAATTCAATGCAGCCACATTCGTCATGGCGGTAGTATGCGAAGTTCGCTTCGGAAGGGGCGCCAGGGCTCGCCCTGTCGTTTGGGCAAATTGGGCTGGGAACAGTAAGAATTCTATGGCCTGAGTATACAAATGGGCATAGATGAGTAAGTAAAGTGGTTACGTACACGGGGCTTGGGGCAATGGTGGAAACCGGGATGACGACAGCGTCGTAACGCTGGCGACTAGACGTGTATGTGAATGTGTGTACGGGCAACATAGGTTGCGGCAATCCTAATTGTCAACACTGCCGTTTTCACAGTGTGTATCGTATGCGTTGTTGAAGAGACCAGAATGGGGAGGGAGTGGCAAAGCTAGGTTGACAATTGGTATGGGACGCAGAGAAAAAGTGGACGCGAAAATCTTGTCGTTTATCATGTTCAACTGTTAATCAAGGTCCATTTATGGCTGTCAATCACATGAAGTTGGTCAATAATGATAGGTAGACTTGAGGAGAAGTTGAATGGGGGAAAAGGGTTGGAAGGCAGAGCAAAAGTTTGTTGTCCTGGCCTGAGTTAAACGACTGTATGGGAGAAATTGAGTCGTTGAAGACATTCGCGCGCTTTGCCTACAGATAAGTAAGCCAGTATTATTAGCTAAACAGGTAGGGAAAGAGCAAACGTAATGCTTTTAATTCGGGCCTAAGAACAATGAAACATACGTGTGCCCGGGAATTTGTGTCCTTGCCCATGTGGCTGCTGTGCTCGTGGAAATGGGCACACACATGAGGCTCGTCTCGTATCTAAGTGACCGTGACCAAGTGCCTCTAGCTTGGTTAAACCAAAATGCTGGTGTGGTGATGGCTGTAGCCCCGGTGTCAATCGCGAAAAAGCGGGCAACAGAGGACACAGCACCAGTTAAGAAGAAGGCAGTCAGACCACAAAGCCGGAATATGGGAGTATTGCCATGTCGCCAGGAGAGAGCACGGGGCGATACAAACGAGGAGCTAGAGAGAGCGAGAGAGTTCGCCACATTATGGAACTAATGCACTAATAATCTTCTGCTTGGCCGTTAGTCCAAGCCCTGACTACTGTCAGTCTCACTACATACAGCCCACGTAAACAGGAATTGAGATCAGGAAATGAAGAGTAACAAGGAGAGAAAAATACTTTCAAAGGGGAGACTTGAAAAGAGGAGACAGAAATGACAGCGAATGCGGAACCTGCTCTGTAAACCCGTACAAATTGAGAATGCCATTAAACCTGGGCTCAAGTAAATCGTCGCAGACCATGCTGCCCCAATGGCTCAAAGTACAGGTCATAGCTCCCAGACTCGGGCATCGTCATTCGAGGTGGGCTGCTCCACTCATGCCAACTGCATAGCTATTTCAATGAAGAGATGGATAAAATTGTAAGATGGTTTTTC